GTGATGTTTGGGTAGTTCATAAACAGGAATCCTTACACGCAATTAGGATACTTAAGAGAGAATAAACACAGACGAGGATACAGCAATTAACGACAAACTTCGATATATGAATAAACAATGAGTACACTGTACCTCATATAAAGCGTATTTACAACTGACGTTGTAAGAGAAAACAAATGGATATATAAAAAAAACATTATAAGTATAGGCAAAGTGCACACCATCTTGATGTATTTAATTTGCATATTAGCGGTACCCAAGATAGAAAGAAAACTTAAAGTTTGTTGTCACGTGTTTACACAACAGGAACATATTACTCAAGAGAGAAATAACCTTATTAATTTTTAGGCGCTTATTTATGATATAAGACGATATCACACGAACCTTTTAACACTTATTTATGATAGAAGACGATATTGCATTTATGCAGAAATGTACAAGATAGGTTGGTTATATTTTTTCCTTCGACAGCCAAGTAGAGGTGCTGGCTGGTTAGATTGCTGCTGAGAGAGAGAGAGAGAGAGAGAGAGAGAGAGAGAGAGAGAGAGAGAGAGAGAGAGAGAGAGAGAGAGAGAGAGAGAGAGAGAGAGAGAGAGAGAGAGAGATTATTGGTCATGGTCAGTCCTGGCCTTTTATTAAAGCAAGTTATATTCCTAAATATAATGCTATTATATAAATCAATGGTTGCAAACTCTGCATACAGATAATGGAAACTCATAAATTTTCAATCATTGTCCGCTCTAAAATATATTTTAGTTATATCTATGATATATAAAAAGAACTATTTGAGTAAAGTTGACACAAAAATAGAAAATAATTTACAAATTAATATATGACAAAATCTGATGCAACACACTCGGGCTTTTCCGCTAACAATCGGAAATACCTACTAAGTACTACATATGCGGATACCATGTTTACAAAAAACGTCTTGACAACATTGTTGAAATCGACTGAAAGATATATTATTTGCTAAAACGTTTCCAGGCTTTTTCATGTATTGACACTCTAGATAGCTTTTTTTTCTTCATTGAACTTATACAATGATTTCCATAAAGATATCATAATTCGCTTGACATGATTCGATTATTCCTATCGTATTTTAGTGAGAGTCTATGTTCTCTGCCTTTTTATGGCTATTACCCCCTTTATACTCTGTATCACTGCATCGTAGTATTCCGAACTCTAATTCTGCAGAAAAGCCACGAGGTGATCTGATCGATGTCTTTTTTTTTGGTAAGATTATGAATGGTTCACAGTTATTTCGCAAAATCTGCAGATTTAACACAAGACAAAATTAACACTTTAATTGGTCAAATGATCATATGACAGCTGCCAATTAAATTGCAAAATGAAGCAAGAGTCCCTCGAAGGGTCTGGGGCTCTACTGGCTGAAAACAAGTTTAAAAAATTCAAACTAAGGCGATTCCTTCCTTATAACTGCAAAGTGTTGATCCACGTTTGATATTCTTCATTGATAACAAGATTTAGAAACTAACTGCTGTGGTAGACACTTTTAATGATACCTTGATACAATTGTCATTTACAAGGCGTAATGAAGACTCTTCTAATGTAGATCCGTTTTGACATGACTTTCAGGTTGGCCGTTATGGAAGTCATGTTAGAGATCGGATCGGCGCCAGTTTCATCTACGACCAACTATAATTATAATAAGACAATTACGATTTTGCCGTCCATTTAGGAGCAATAGCGATAACTATATTTTCAGGTCAGTCTATATAACAGGTAAATTTAATATGTCATTGGCAACAACAAGGCCAACCGGCCATTTATAAGAAGCTATTGCGCCAAAACGCTATAGTGATACTTTCATCCACTCAGGAGAGTTAGTGCTAACAATCTTTCAATATAAACACTCTTGCGACATCAGATCTACACCAACTATTTATTCTGAATCCAATAAACACGATAAGAAGTCTTCTGGGGAAAAACTCACGGTAAAGTTACTTTTTCTTTCAAATGTATTAGAAGTAATAAGATTTTCAAGATGGCAACTATGTCTGTCTTATTGGTGATCAGATCGGTAATACGTTCATTTCAAACCACCAGCTTGACACCATCATTCAGTGGAAACCTCATGCTTAGGGGGATCATCGATAATATTATTTTCAAATTGACTGCTCTGGCAGCCATACCGGATATCCTATTAGCACTACAAACATTTAGAGCCAACCAGGAACCATAACAAATCTTCTGGGAAAACATCAAGTCAATATGTCTTTCCATACAAGGGTAGTGATATCGAGGTATTAAAGACGACTACAATGACCGCCATATTTGACACGAGATCTGCCCCTATTTTCATTTAGTTTATTTAAACAGCATATTCTATATTAGATTGGCACCATTTTCATTTTGGACCACCCAGACATCATAACATGTTTTCTGGTGAAAATGTCACTTCAATATTACCATTTACTGTTGAACACTTTATGACCACGTGTTCCGACCTGCAAACTACGCGTGATAAATACTATAATGTACACGACATGCAGGAACTTTTTGATACTATTCAAATCACTAGTATTTTAGATTTCCTAAAGGAAGTAAATCTTTATTTTAAACTGTAACTTTTTATGACCTTACCCAAACTAATTTTTAACTAATACAAATACCAACTATTATTTACATCTTTTCATCAAGATACATCATTTACATCTCCCGTTGATCGGGAACCAATATCTTTAACTGTTACCAACATTTACCATTTTATATTTATCTACTATGGATTTTTTACTATATCGCTGGTCGATATTGAACCTTTTTACAAATATGACCTACTGTATGGCGCTAAATAGCCTAAAAGTGCTGGTGCGCCGTTAAAATTCAATCAACCAATCAATCAATCAATATTTTTCTTATTCATGAAAAGTAGCAACAACAAGATATTGAAGGTGGCCAATGAACTCGACATCATGGGAAGTCTTTTAACGAAAACCCCATGCATATTTGGCCATGTTTAAAGGAGGAGTTTGAAGCTGATCAAAGTGGCAATCATGCTAAATATACAACCGATACAATTTAGACTCAGCTAGGCAATGCAACAAATGGGTGTTTAAGGCTTCATGGCAATCCTCCAAATAACTTAGGAGTAGACTCGATAAAACGCTTGCGCCAACGGACAGACGGACAATAGGCAATCCCATAAGCTACTATGTTCAGGTATCTGCTCTCCTGACCTGCATCACGATTTTACCGGCGTACTAGTCGAATCGAACTGAAAACGGCACAGACCCAGATATGCCGAGTCATAATACGCAGACAAATCAGGGTATATATAGCGTGTGAGGAACAATAAGCAGAACAACAATAACTTGGCCAGAGCAAGGTCTGTTCTATTTGCAGTAGGACTAAACTTATAAACGAGTACCTACAGCTGAAACTCGCTGATACTTTCATGTCTTTACAACACACTTGTTGAGTGCAATATTGAAGACAAAAATGTAATACGGAACGAGCGTAATTTAGAACCATTGCTAAAAAAGACAAAAAACACAAACATTCCTGTCTACCTCGTTCCTGCAGTACACAGTATACAGGTTCCAATTATATATATATATATATATATATATATATATATATATATATATATATATATATATATATATATATATATATATATATATATATATAAAAATTCAGGTTTCTATAGGGCAAATAAACGCCATACTCAGATTCATGTCAAGAGAATGCGTACACTACGACCTACACGATCGATTAGTGATGTGAAAAGTAAAATGTTTTATCTATATGACAATTCAAACAGCTGTAAGTTCAACCCTACAGTGGGATATCATGACATGCTGCCATAAAGTTTATTATATCATTATTCCAAACTAAATTTAAATAAAACAAGACAAACAAAAAAGCCCATAGAAGTCCACTACAAGTGGATCTTACATTTCTCTCCTTGTAGACATGCAGATGAATTTGACCAAGAAATCTGGATAAGTAATCTATTTAAATTCTTCCAGTGCTGTTAATGGCATATGTTACAAAACATGTTTCAACGTTTCTCCCTTTACATAATAATATTTGGCCATATTTGATTGCACATCAGCATAATATATGCCAATATGACTATGCGCTTTCAATCAATGCTGACCAATGTGAGCCTAAGGTTTCGTCTGAATAAAGCGTTTTAATATGTGTCAGCGTTTGGTAATGGAAGCCATACAGCATGGCAGAGCAGCATATTTTAGATCAGTCTCAAACGTGTTCAAATTGGGACATTAAACTGTCATATTTGGTCAAATTATGTTAAGCAGAAATTTCAAAGAAAACTCGTCTCTATTTTTAGCAAAAACATCCGGATTTAACGGCAGATTTGCGTCATTTGCATAAATTTAAAATTCATATTTTGCAAGCAAACTTTCTTTACAATTTGGTTAAATAATGATGAGTGGTTTATAAAACGTCGCTAAAAAGAAATAAACAAACCCTTTTTAGATACGGCGGTCATATTTTCCAAAGCAAAATGTTTGTATGAAGGTCCATACACTAGCCTGCGCTCAGACAAATTGAAATAAATTATGGAGTGAAATTTCTAAAAATAAATAGATGAATGTTTCCTTTCTAATTTTATGACAACGGCTATATCTGACTGCATCTCAGATTTTTTGTACAAGCTACAAATGTCCTTAATAAAAATGATTTCTGTAAGGACAGCTCAAACTGTATATAGCCGTTTTCATCGAGAAGTCAACGTTTTGTGTCTAGTTTGTAACGGCAGCTATATTTTGTCTCGGAACGGCAGTATATATGTAAATCTGGAAGGCCTCGATTGTTTATAATTATTAATAAGACACGTACAGTGCAAACATTGAATAACCTACCAAAGTTGTAAAATGTCCATTTCCACTGCTTGTTAAGTTGTAATTGAGACAACCATTATCAGAACATGAACTCAATCCCATTTTTATCGGTAGTTGCAGAGTTTTCCGTTGTGATGTGTTTAGTTTACATAATATTTAAACTCCTGTGGCTTACGTGGTTAGAGAGCCCACCTGGGATGCGGGAGGTCGCTGGTTCGAAACCCAGCGTAGTCTTAACAAAGATTTGTAAAAATTGCACTAAAAAGCTGCCTCACTAGGCAATGAACATTAAGAGGTTAGTGTTAGGGCTGGTTGGCTTTGTGTCAGGACACTATGACTGGATGGGACATCATATCATAATTATCAAAGCTACGTTAAAAGTCCAAATCACACATAAAACGCAGTGTCGCGTATTGACCAATGGCATTATTCAAGGCTTTTCTTACACGTATAGGCACGTACGAAAATATTTAATAGGCCAGATTAAATCGAGTGTTTTCTCCTGCGTGAATATTCATAAACTACACAATCGATTGGTGACGCAAAAGCTGTCACACACCTGTCACGTTCATTAAAAAAGCTACAATTGGGCACGACACCCTGCTTAGACAACTTTTTTTTATATGCATTGATCCAATCGTGAGCGGATTCTAATGTATAGCAATTGATTGAAATATCTACAACATTCACTAAGACACTAAGAATAAACTTATTTCAACAGCCACGAGTATTTAGGATGAATAGGATATTGTTGCATATAGTTCCCACGATTACCATATCCTGTTCCCAGGTTAAGCAAAATTATAAATAATCGTAAAAAACGTACCAGTAAAGAATAAACAGTGCGGAAAACACACATACTACATGCCCTTTTAAACTTTAAACAATGTCAAATATCCGCTGCTTAACTGCTCCTTCTCTCTTGCTCACACACACACACACACACACACACACACACACACACACACACACACACACACACACACACACACACACACAAACACACACAACCACACGTCTGAGCTCATATATAGATGAGAGCACAATACGTGTGTTTCGGTTTCTACAGTCTTCAATAAGAATCCATATATTTATGCAAAACAGTTTCTTTCTTGAGCTTATTTGTATTCATTTGTATACGTTATTTTACTAGATAAAATATGTATAAAGTACATAATAAACAAAAAGAACCATAACACTATGAAAGTAGACTGGTCTTGAGCTGTTAATACGTATCATGGTGCACGTAATTTGTAGATTCGGTGAGGAACATAAATTAACCTTGTCATAATGAAGACAAATTAAATAAACGATGCATGTACATATACGAATAAAAGCGACAAATTATTTTGTCGCAATGTATCATAATCTGAAGAATTTGTAACAAAATAAAACCGAAAATTTCAATTTACCAATATTGTAATCTCATAATCTAACTTTCAAAAAGGCCTTAAACACAGCTAGCTTTTCAACAAATATTTAAATATATGCTGGTTCTTCCGCGTGTCAAACAGCTTTTCAAAGCAATACCAGAGAATTTTGTAGTTGTACATCTCTCCAGACTACTTTGTTCACAACTGGCATACCTTCCGCTTACAACGATTGCTACACCAAATCTGAGCAACGCAAATTTATTCCATGAATACAGTTTATTAAGATGGTCCCTGTGGAAGATTAGTCAAACATCAATTCACATATGATCATAAAAAATCCAAATTACAGAAATTAATATTGCTCTAATTCTGGGAGAATCTTCATCGTCCCAGCATGCATTGCAACCCATTTTCTTAGGCATACTTCCTGTTCATGCAGCTATAGATGACAGCAGTTACCAAAGAGAGACCAGCAGCTCCAATGGCGACCCAAAATGACCAGCTAAAACGGACGTAATTGTCGAAGTCCCATTTCAGTTTAGCTTTTCTCTCATCGGATGCTTTGACTGCAAACACCACCACCGCAACACCGATGCACAGAACTAAAATTTCCAAAATAAAAAAGTCAAAAACTTTTAAGCTTATTCTAAATTATATACGTATTTTCGATGAGAAAGAAAGACAGACAGACAGATAGCTGTGAAGGATATAGAAAGGTCAGAACTGAAAACTGCACAACTACAAGACATCAAATGGATCGATGTAAATCAAAATATATAAACATATCAACAATAACGTAGCTCATATTATTAGCGAATATAAAAGCTTGGCAGTTTTCCAACTTTATTGCCGATTTGATTTCATAAGGTAAAGAACATTTTTAAATGCAAGCTGAAAATTACAGTTGTTAGAAGGAGAATCCGATTCAATATCAGTAATGCTACTTTGATATTCCCAAAAGAAATTCAACTTACATCCGACTACAAGCACAACAGCAACAGTGTGATTCGGATTGCAGTTTTTGCAAGTGCAGCAAAGAGCAAGTGTCGCCACCAACAGCGCTAACAGTCCGGCAACCAGTCCGACGGTCATAAGTCCTTGTGTAGCCTTGAACCAATCTGAAAGAAAAGGAAGAATGTCAATGATGCTGACAACAAAAAAAGATGTTTATTTTTTTCAGCACAGCAATTATATGTAACTGTCTAGCTTTAAAGTGTTAAAATGATTCTCAAGCACGTTGATGATCAATGAAAGTAAATTATGTATATATTGTGCAGTACATGTGCTTTGTACATACTGAGCACTCAATACGGGCCCAAGTGAACACTGGAACATCTTTCAGGAGGACAGAAGCAAAACCTGGGATAGAAATCGGTGGTTCTAGATGGGCGACCTCTTTTCAATCAATGTATAAGGTCTAGACACTGACACAAGGACCGATGGGATAAAAAACGAATATTTTTTAATGCATAATAAATATTTCCTGCATAAAGTACCTGCGTAGAGCACCAAAGTCTGTTGTACTACATCGTCTAATATAGCTCGCATAGCTGACCTTGTTCTAATACATAAACCTACTTAAAGTTGCGTGCATGCTTGCCACAGACGCTCAAATTTAAAACAATATGCTCACTGAAAATGCAAGTAAATGGTAAAAGAGGGCGTGATGTTAACGGAGGGGGAGGTGCATCATAGCATCCTAAACGTGTGCGTACATTGAGTGCAGGTGTTAACAAAAAACACGCAAGATAAAATCTTGGCAAAATAACTACAACTTTCTCTACTCTTATTAAATTGTCATTAAGGTGATGAATCTTATAATTTCCGGTCGGTTCCTAGAATTTTTATTCTGAGAGTTAGATCAGCCTGATTTCCATATAGGAACATCAATCGATTTGTGTTTAGCTTAAAACAAAATTATTTGCCCTTTAAAGGCACATGTATAAAGACGGAAGAAAAATTCTCTTTTATAATTTTTTTAAAGAGACGAACGTTTCACTTGTAATAAGAATTTAAAATGAACTGTACTTCTGCACAAATGATTATATCAATTATCAAGAGAAAGTAAAGTTAGGTTCAAAATATAAGACAAATGGAAAGTAAGATTCAAAAGATGAGACAAATCTAAAAGTTAGTCACAAGCCGTGAAAGAAACGTAATGACAGATCATAAGCAGAACCGCTAAAACGTGTGGAAAAAGCTTCACTTCATTTTGATAATTTCTTAAATGCTGCAATTATGCTACTATGATATTTCATTGATAATTTCTTCAACGTTGCAATTATCCTGTTGTGATATGCTGTTGATAATTTCTTAAATGCTGCAATTACACAGCTGTGATATTTTATTGGCAATTTCTTCAATGTTGCCATTACACTGTTGTGATATTTTACTGATAATTTTCTTCATTGTTAAAATTACACTGTTGTAATAATTTATTTCCTTTCTCAAGCAATGTCGTATTCTTGACTGCAGAAACCATATTAAAGTCAACGGTTAAATGCTAAATCAGTGATATGGTAGTTTTGTCACTTGATTTAGGAATATATGTTTCATTACTCTCTCTCTCTCTCTCTCTCTCTCTCTCTCTCTCTCTCTCTCTCTCTCTCTCTCTCTCTCTCTCTCTCTCTCTCTCTCTCTCTCTCTCTTGTTCTGGAATACCTGGTGCACATTTCTGATGCAGCATATCATCTTCAAACATCCATATGCACGAATTTTCTTTGCATTTTGCTAGCAGACCCATGTGATGTTTCCCGGTAATGACGTCATCACTTTCTATCCAATATGGCGTCACGAATGCAATTATACTTGCAACATCACAAATGACCAACACTATCAAGCCAAATGATTCTGCTACACTCATTGTGTTTAATGTCAATTATTCTTTTGTTTCAATCTCTCTAAATCTGTTTTCGCCTATACAGTTCCAAAGCTGAAGCAACTATTAGGATGTTTACCGTACTTTCGTACGCTCACTTAATCATAAATTGTACGCAATTTTCTATATGTTAGCAAATCGTCCTGTTCACTTGAGGATGACATATGGAACAACGCCCGCAAAGTAAATTGATAAATTGGACAAAGTTATGTCTCTCTGAAGTTATTCCTCATCAACTAAAAACGAAAACTTTATTCCATATTTACGCGCAATATACATGTATCTGTTACATTATTAATCGGAACAACTCAGTAGATGATTCATACAACAATATATGTTATATAGAATGGTTCTATGTTGTAATTATTTGCACTGTGAATAAAACAGCGCAATCTCAAAATATGAATCTTTATTCTATAATTTACGAACGATGCAGTGTGCAGTAAAGGCCATTTTGCTTGTGCAGTTAAAAGGCCATACATATATCCTCCAGAAAATCGAATTTCAGATGACTTTTTATTCCCGCTAGACCTGCAAATATCCACCGATTCACCTCTTCAGTCTGTGCAATTCATAAGACCTATTGTTTTCCCCGCTTAGTTATGCATATTCAGTAAGTACTTTCGATTTCCCAACTAGAAAATCGTTATCACCCCAAAAAATCCAAGAATAGTTTGAACATCACACTACAACCTTGGTAAGACAGATCGAGATGAGCTGATCCAACAGAAAGCTACTCCTAGTACATCTGAAGTTTACGGTAGAACTAGCTCTGATTTCGAACTAAAGAATTTGGGAAAGTTTCCATGGAAACACTGCTTACCTACAAACAAAACAAGTAGTCTATATAAATATTCCCTGAGATTGACTGAGTTTCCACAGAGCCCATGGAAAATGCATTTTCATTACAGAAATAATTTAAGTTTTGTAACACACTGGGGTACTTCTACTTAATTTTGAACTTCTCTGCATTTCTACTGCACAGGTCG